AACAGAAAAAAAAACTGAGCTTTATTTTTAAGTGGGTAAAATTTTATAACCACTGTTAAAAGTTCATCCCAACTTTCGTTTTGTGCAGACATTGGAAATTAATTCTATAAACCTTAATGCAGTCTCTAGATATTTAGAGATTTCAAAATCAAGACAGTGAGCATTTTATTTACAAATGAAATCTAGTGTTTCAATATGGAGTCATCGTGTTTCGTATATTCAGAGAGTAGCCCCATAAATGCATCTCCATACAAATACTAGATTGATAGATAATTAATAGATAAGTAAATAATAGATATATTCTTAAAGGCATTGCTGGTTACAGATAAGAATGATGTCTAAAGTACTGATGTATACGTCTGTAATAGCTTTCTGATTCGAAAGCTCCGCTTTTTTACATTCTATGAAAGTACTTTGGTCAGTACACGGTTTAAAACATATAATAATGACATACATTTTGGTTCAGGTTTAAAGAGAATAATACTCTGCACAGTCCAATTCTAAATGACATCTAGCAACTTCCATTAAATGACTAAATGACATTGTATTTGTTAGTCTTGTACAAACTCGGCAAGGTATCTTTTAACTCCTTTTCATTTATCTTGAATAAAATGGAAGATTAAGTGTGAGTTGTCCCCTACTGAAAATTAAGTCAAGTCTGTGAAAAACCAATTGCCTGTAAACCTTCAAACTTCAGAGGACTGTTTGAGTAAACCCAAACACTGCTGAGCCTGGCTGGCTAGAGGTCTCTGGGGTTTCTATTTCTATACAGTTTTCAAGTTTCATGAGCTCTTTTCCAAGAACAAATAAACTAAATGTTCGCAATTGGGGCTGCACTTGGATTCGCCGTTTCCTTGTGAAGCAGCAGGACACTATTTTCTTTACCTCTGACACATGTCCCACATGTTGCCTTTGCGCGTCCCCTGGCCTCTCAGAGTTTTCGAGGGCTTCTCCTCGACAGTGCAGTGCCCTCCCCAGGCCCTCTGGTCTCAGCCATACCAGGGAACATGTTGACATCACCACTCAACGTGAGGCATTTCGTAACCCTTCATCATACCGAGAAAGCTGACACTGTCTTTTCCCGACTTAGGTTATTATACGTGTGCAAACACACACCGCACACCCTGTGACTGGCATTGCTCACCTGTGTCTCACCAGTGTCCTGCCTCTCGCACCTGCCCGTACTGACCATCTATTCCTCATCTATTCCCAAGCAGGACCTTCACTGTCAGTTCCCCCCTGATGTGGGGCTCGAACTCATGAACTGTGAGATCAGGACCTGAGCAGAAACCAAGAGTCTTAGCGCTTTACCCACTGAGCCGCCAAGGCACCCCTAGAAGTCCTTACTAATTGAAACTTGCTAAGTTAACTTCTTTTTGTGTTGTCAGTTCCTCAAAGATTTACTGTGTCTTTGTCTAAAAGTATAACATCTACCTGCCTTGATCATTTTTGTTGGGTCTTAATTTCATTATTGGACCTCTCTGCACATGTAATAAAACTTTGTGTGTGTTTTTTTCCCTCTGCGAATGTGTCTCAGGTGAATTTACCTCTTAGTCCAGCTAGAAGACCTTGGAAGGTAGGAAAGGGCTTTCCTTCTCTTCAACATCATGGTCTTTGAAGCCTTAGAGACATCATTTCACTGCCTATGTCACCATGAACAAATTACATTATCCCTCTGAGTCTCATTTTCCTTGTCTGTAAAGTTCAGATGGCAGGATTAGTGACAATTTATGCGAATATTAACCAACATCTGAAAGCAGTTTGCACATTGCCAGGCACATAGGGAATGACTCATAAATGCTAACTCTTTTCTCCCACAGTTGAGATTTGTACCTCGAGTGCTAGTGAGTTTTTAAATGATCTACTCAATTATTGGGCAGAGATAGACCAGAAGTAAAATTGGTTAGCAGGGTTTTTTTAATAGATGGATGAATTTATGTACGGGAACACAAATTAGCATTAATGTTTATCACAGGGGGAGGCAGGATCTCAAAATAGCAAAGGGAAATTTTAAAAGGCAGTAAGGTAACCTGGAGAATTTTTTTTGGCAAAAGCAGGAAAGGGTGCTGGTAGCGAGTACTTCTCAAAGTTTCCTGCTGCTTCTTGGGATGGTAGGTGTTTTCCGAGTATGGGGCTGTATTCTTGCATATTGTAACATGTTGGAGAGGAAGCTCGTTTTTCCCCAGAGAGAGCAACATCAAAGTCCAAAAAGCAGTGGACTAAGAAATCAAGAGAATCGTTTCCTATTAGAGGTTCTATAGTTGGGATTTTGCCTTGAGCAAATCCCTGAATTTGGGGGGTTGTGACTTTCTGTCTGCAAACTGAGAATGGCTGAATTCTCTAAGAAGTGTTCAAACCTTGAATTACTAGCCTGGGCACATGGCAAGCTTGGGCTTCATCCAGACATGGCGGCTCCGAGGAGTCAGATTTCCGGAGTAACTCAGGATAGGTGGAGGGGAGGAGAAACTGCCTTAGAGGCCATCTAAGGCATAGCCAAAACAAACAGAAGGTCCTGTCTATTTTACTTTACTCATCAAATCAGTCACCAGTCAGCCCAGATTTAAGAGGAGGGAGCCCAGGCACCTTGTGTCTGATTGCAGCCATCTACAACCCTCCACGCAAATAAAGCATATAGAATACTACCCATGATATGATGCCATTGAAAGACATGGCACAGAATGGCTTCATAGTTCATGAGCACACTCGATCCTGGTTTTGAATAAGAACTGAGGAATGGATACTCCGATGTGTAGCAGAAGATTTAAACATCTGAGGTATGGTGGACAAGATTTGTATGTTTGGCAGAGATCAGGAGAACATAGACATTCAGGTTTTCAAATGCAGATTTTTTCACTTTTCTGAAATAAATATTGAAATAGAATAAAAAGGAAATGATGAAATGAAAGGGTAAAGGTCATGTTTAATTTGAAAACCGTGAAGATCGAGAAGTAGAGAAATGAGGTATCAAAACAATAGGGGGTGATTCAGATGAAAATTTTATGGAGAAAATTCTCAACTTATTTGTTTCCAGGAAAAAAAAAATGTCTACTGTGTTTCCATGGTGTTTAAGACCAACCATTTAGGAAGAACCATGTTTCCCAGAATTAAAAAAAAATAGAAGGAAAAGTAGTTTGGGGAAGGTGAATTGACCATGGGTGGTGTATCGTACAGTAATAAACAAATTACAATATATTAGAAAACAATAAAGGGTAGACAGAAGCGTGATGAATATGCAATTCACTTTATTGATTAACTGATGTTTATTAATGGGCATTGCTCACGCTAACTAGAGACGTTATGTGTTGAACTAAGTTTATGCCTCACATGAGAAATTGGCTTTTTGTCCCAGTGCTAATTTCATACAGTGAGCCTTGCTTCTGTCCCTTACAGGAGTGGGTATTTAGTGTGTATCCTGATACTTCCTAACATGCATAGCCCCACACACACATTCTCCAACTGCTGGTCTGGGGAAAATCCAGAAGTGTGTGGGGTTAACAAACACACCAAAGATGCTGGAAATTTGGCTTCTCCGTCACCCCCCTCCCTACCAGCCATGGGATGTTGGTGTGGTTAATTTTCACAATAAGAAGGAAAACTTCGAAATATCCCAAATTCTGAAAAACATACAAATGGGTTATCTTGTTGCCACTCAGAGCCATCTTTTAAAAAAGATACCTTCAACAGGGCCAGGCTTTCAAATTCACTGAGTAGGGCACTTTTGTGGCAAGTCATAGACGTTATAGACATGTCTCACTGCTAAAAATATGGAATCGCCTCAATATGGTCATGCCCTTTGGTTTCATCTTCCATTAAAATGTAGAAACCTCTTAACTTCATATGACTTTAAAGGGCCTGTTACAGCCGATCAGGGGCTTTCCTGACCATATCTTCCATGGAGGGTGGGAATCTGGGTACAAAGAATGGCAAGGGCCAGAAGCAGGGCAGTGCAGTGGGAGAGGGCGCCCCCATGGAGCACACAGGTCTCTGAGGTCACACCTGACAGACATGATCTTCGCAGCTCCCACTTCTGCCAAGAGTCAGTTATTCAATCAGGAGGAAATGTGAGGTTTTATTGATTAGAGGGTTGCCCCTAGCCTGTCAGAAAACGAACATTTGCTTAGATTGCATCAGAGAAATGTGTACTAAGAACACATAAAACCATTTCTGGAAGTTTTTTCTTTTTTAAAAAAAAACCTAGTGTGAATCAATAAAAATGAATTTATTTCTTGAAAATGCAATATAAAATTTCATTCTCTTGGAACTAACCCTATGCTTGAGCACCTGAGTGTGGTTGTGTTGATCTCTGGGGCGAACCTTAAAATTTATTTTTCAATTAAGAACATATTGCCACACTTTGATCACAGAACTTCTCAGGAAAACACATTTTTGATACGTAAAAGATCCTATCACAGAAGCACAGAAAAAAATGTCCATTGGAGAAAAGATCCAATGAGCAAGGGTGGGAGGAGGTGTCTGGAAAAGGTGTAATCAGAAATGGATGAAAAGGATTAAAGGATAAAGGATTATTCTGTGTTTGGCGCAGTTTGTGAGTATGTGTTTGTAAAAGGGCTCCGTCCCTCCTCAACAAGCTAGTTTATAGTTCGGTAAATTGCAGAGAACTGATAGTAATGCACAGAATTCTTATTCATAGAGATGCACATAAACTCGTCTGGTGGTGGGTACTAACTAGTTACTGTTGTAGCTATTTACCTGCACTCCGGGTTGGCTATACGCCCTTTGAATTCTCCTTGGAATCAGTTGTACATCTTTTTGTTCCTTCTAAATCAATGAATGATATCAAATCATCTACAAGTGTTCGTTTCATATATGTTTGGAGTCACGTTTACTTTTTTTTTAAAAAAAAGTAACCTTAAACGGCAAATTAGGGATCTATAACAGATTCTGTCATATGACGCCCACATTTAACCCTCAACTTCTGAAGGAGCAGATTTCAGCCTAATATTTTGCATCAAGCCTGACACGTTTCCTTTTTCTTTTAGCTTCAGACAAGCTTGACTGAGCCAATGACGTTATCCAAATCGATATCTCTTCCTCGTAGCGCCTACTGGCATCACATCACCCGTCAGAACAGTGTTGGAGAAATCTACAGTTTGCAAGGCAAGTAACTTGAAAATAATCAAGCGGCACCTCCATTAGCTTCCTACAGGTGGGCCAGGAGTCATGCAAATTGCTTTGCTTCCTTTTCCTCCATTTTTCATTTATCAGCTGTCACTGGCCACAGTGGGGGCTCTGAGATTTACAGTGGCATGTCTAAAGCTATCATTGCATAGTCTCACGGTAGAAATGATTCCAAAAAGTCTCTAAGGGCTAAGGACCCTATTTGGCACCTGACTAGAACATTATACAAAACACATTATCAGAAGCTCAAAGTAGCTCATACAAGGGTCTGTTTCATGCTGTTTCATAAAGAATTTCCTTCTTAGCATCCTTTTTTCTTAACAGGATTGACTGTCAGTTCAGGGGACTGATTTCAGGTTCTGTAATAAAATGCTACATAAACCTAGTCTCGGAAGTCTTCAAGTTTAGCCAGAGCCTTGGCACAGAAATAATTCTGGAGGGTGCAAGGCAGGAGATAAGCTCAAATACTTTACGTCTGTATTTTTCCTAATGATTGATGGTTATTTAACTAAAATAGTTAAATAGTTTACCAGATGAATCAGATTCATTGATAGCAGGTCAACCTCACAGCACAACCTCAGCAGCACAACCTCAGCTTTGGCATTTTTTCCCTATTCTTTCCCTGTTGCCTTAAAATGAATAGTCTCATCCTTCAGATAAAATATTCGATTATAAGCAATTGACTTACAGCTGACCAAGACTGAAGGGAGTGGGCACTTATAAAATAAGGCTAACAAAACACAGTAAAAAAAAAACAAAAAAACACTCATCCAACAAAGAGTTTTTGAGCACAGTGGGTTTGAACATAATAGACACCTGATAAGTACCTGGTGAAGGAATGACTCTGTGACCTTCAGCATAGTGGAATATTCAGAATGGTTTTTCTTTCATACTTTAGCCTTTGCTCCTATTAACAACACTAAGTCTTTCAACAACAACAACAAAATGTTTTCATGATACGGAAACTGCAGTGGTGTATTTTTAAAGCAATATACGCTTGCCAGCGTTTCAAACCTAGACTAATGGAATTTGGTTGGTGGGAATTAATGATGAAAGAGCCATTCTGCAAGGAAAAGCTGTCAGAGCAATTGTAGTCATTTGTGGAATTTGTGGATGGTACTCGCATGTTATATTTTAAATGAATCCGCTTATGGGTAGTTATTATCTTTTTGTGTTATTTCTTTGTATGAGAAAAATTATTAATAGGATAGGGAGGAGAGGGTCAAGGAGACTCTTGACAATCTTGTGGATCAGAAAGAGGAGACCACGCTTTGCTTTTCTGCTTCTGCTCAAATGCTGAGTCGTGATCTTGGTTGATTAATCGTGCTTGCTCCTGTGATCAGAAATAATTAGAAAATGTGCTTTTAGTGTAAGGTGATTTTTATTTAAACAGAAACCTATAGGTCTAATTATTGTTAAAAAACAAACTTCAACTGAGTGAATTTTATGAATCGTGTTTATTCAATTATTCATGAATGGACAACATGTGATCTAGCAGATAGGAGGGAGGTCTGAGGAGCTATATATAATGAAAGACTTTTATAGGCAGAGGGAGTGGGACAAGGAAATTATACTGGACAAGAATGGATTGGGTGTAGCAAGGTCACTTCCTTAAGGGGACCACAGATGTCTGTCAGACAGATTACCTCACTAGTACGAACCGGGTAGTTCCTCATTGACTGGTTTAAGAGTCTTTTTCTGGGAGAGCTGAAACTGTAATGATGTGTTACGTCTTAGGTAAGCATCATGAGGTTTAGCCTAAGTGACTCCATATTGAGCCTACTGTCTTGTTTTTAACAATATTGATGTTTAATAAAATAAAAATAAAAATATGGAGCATTTACATGAGAGAATGCAAATGACCACATTTCTAAGCTAAAAGAAAGTGAGATGTTAATGCAAAGAAGCTGGGAAAAGGTTGGAACCAATATCGTGATACCTTTGGGTTTTGACAAGAATGTGTTCTATAAATCCAAGCAAATGAAAGATTGTTGTTTTTGTGGTAGTGTGTGGGGAACTCTTCTCCGAAGGAAGAGCTGACATTTAGACTGATACACAACATCAGAAATAATTTCATATGCATGCAACAAAAAATCGCCAGAACTCATTTAAATTTCTCAAAACATTGCTGAAGACTTGCAGAAGGACAGTGTTGACTTACAATATAATAGAATCAGTAACTGATTAGAACACTCTAGGATCCGTCTCACTGATACTAATTTCCAGCAAAGGTAAGAGCTTAAATGTTTTATCAATTATGATGAACAGTTTGCTCGTATGGTCGCAATAGCACCACGCTCTTACCCGTTTGTTTGTTGTTTTTGTGTTAACAAAGAAATATGTCTCAACTAAGTACTACAAGGCCAAAAAATAGAGAATGTATTTGATGTAAATTACATTTCACTATATTGCAGGTTTATTTTTGTATTGTATACTTCATAGAGCAATACATTTTATGTTTTCTGTACACGTTATTTTATGGTTATATCATATATATAGAGAGAGAAACATCTTACTTGGATAGCTAGATCTTAGGTGATCTTAGGTTATATCTGGATACAGATGTAACCTGTATCCAAAGCAATGCTTTGACAAAGCTGATGTATTTTATTCTCCTTTAGTTCTGTTGAGCCAGTCAAGCTCAGCAAAGGACAAAATGTCTTTTGACCATAGCTTTTTATTGGTATGGAATCTACACAGGCATTGTGTTTATGGACTCAGGGGAGGATAAAACTACCAAAATAAGAAAGAAAAATAGAAAAAGTGAACCCTGGCACTCCTTCATACGCATTTACATTTTTTTTCAATAAACTACATTTGGAAGTATAGTTACTTTGTGTCTCACTTCCTTGGTGGTCCCCCATGAAGGTCATCACTTCTTTACAAAGGGGAAAACATAGTCTGATCTTCCAGAGTCAGAGGAAAAATCTGGCGATGGTGGGTGCTATATCGTCAAGTAACCTGCAGGTAGCATTGAGGGATAAAAATGTACCGTTAGGATTTTTCATCATATTTTCTACATTCTAACTGTGAAGCTGAGATCAATATGAATTAAATTCAGCAGGCTTTCATTCAGAAGGTAAAGGGGGAAAAGCTTTATACCTCTAAAGCTTAGTAGATTGGGATTCATTAATAAGCAGTACATGTTCTAGAACTGAAAAAAATATTCATGGTGTGCAAACAAATCTATTCTACTTTAAGACGTACCTGTAACTTCGATTGCCTGTCACTCTCAAACCTTCACTTGCTCTCTTTTATTGGATTCACTTCCGTCATCTGTTCCATAACTATAGCAGCAAGATACACACAAAAAGACCAGAGTATCAGTGTTGACGTCTTGCATTTACTTTAATGTTTGGAAAAAAGGTGCAATAGGATCTGCCAAATCTCTCCGCACTGTATTCCCAGAATGGTGCCCTGAAAGCATAAGTTTTTTGATGGTTTCTCTGTTGTACTCTGGCTCTCTGGAGTCAAAAGATTGACGAAAGAAATAATTCTCTTCAACAAGTACAAGATAGCTAAGGACGAGGCAGCTACTATGTAAAATCTCTGCACCTCGATGGCTGGTGAGAGGTTGGGTCACATTGGCTCGTCTTCCAGAGAGTGTGGGTAAAGACTATTCCTGTTCTTGATTTTTGCCAGACAATAAGGATGATTAGTTTGTACTAGGAAGTAGTTCGCTGCTAGTATTTATCTGACTTACACATTTATGAAAAATTTTTGTGTCACAACCCATTCTAGAGATATTGTCTCGAGACTTAGGGAAACCATGCACTTCAAGGAAGGAAACCTGATTTTGAACTCTTGACTCAAAAGTAAATGCTTAAGGGGTGCCTGGGTGACTCAGTTAAGCATCAGTCAGTTAAGCATCCAACTTTTGACTTTGGCTCTGGTCATAATCTAACAGTTTGTGGGATCAAGCCCCACGGAGGGCTGTGTGCTAACAGCACAAGAGTCTGCTTGGGATTCTGTCTCTCCCTCTGTCTCTTCCCATCCCCTGCTCTCTCTTTCTCTCTCTCTCAAAATAAATAAATAAACTTAAAAAAATTAAATGCTTAAAAAAATACCATCTGTTTAATATCTCTAGAATTTTTGTTCTAAGACCATTAGTAGATGTATGAAGAGCATGAGGAACACTAAAAAATGAGAAAGGATGAGGGGCGTTAGGGAGAAAAAGGAAAAAGAAAGAAACAAATCCCATCAGAAGGTCACGGTTCTCTTTCCCTTGGACTTGTGGTCCCTGTTCCCATATCTGTATGACCCGCTGTGTAGCAGGGCCTTTACATCGGGATGTGGGAAGGTGGCAAAGCATTTATTGAAAATGGCAAATCAATCCAGTAAAAACCACGGATGGTACCAGGCTCACTGCAGACACTCACTGAGTCCTTGCTGAATGCAAATGAATGAATTTAGAAACGGTTGGAGAGGCTACGCGGAGGGGGCCACGTGGCTACCATATCTCCTTTCAGGAAATTCCTCAAAGGTTCCCCGGAAGGAACCATCGTGTCTGGTCCCACACACAGCCCATCCTGGGCACCCATCTGCCCCCTGCACAGGCTTAGGGCTCCGTCGGCTTGTCTGCCTCTTGCTTTAGGATTGGCCTGAGTCCACAGACACTTACTACTGCAGGTCTTCACCTGGGAAGCAAAGGATGGTCTGTGAGATGCTGGCGACTGTCCCTGTAACCTGGTAGTGGGGTTTCTGTATCTCCCACCTGCTGCTTTCCCTCTGGAGAAGCTCTTCCACCGGCCATGCTGATGTGAAGCGGGGTCCAGAGTGCGGGCTGAAAACGCTCCCCGGTGAGTGGGCTTCGGGACTCTGTGCCATCCTTGACGTCTCTCTGATCCACTCATCACTCACTTGGACACAAAATCCTATGGGGATGTGCTGGGACTCAGTTTTGAGCAGCTTGAACACCTTCACTGAATCAAGGATGATGGGGGGTACCGTCCGTAAAAGTGGCAACTTCTGGAGTTGTG